CGTCGACAAATGGAGAACGATCTCTTGGGGAGTGCTGGCGGGGGGGGGCTCGTGGGTCCGGAGGGGACCTCCTCGAGGAGTTAGTTGGCGACCCTGGGCTTGCTGCGGTTCTCCTCTCTCGGGTAATCCGCGGGAGCACGCGCGCGAAGCGTCGGTCGGCCGATCATAAGCGGCCCGCTCGCCCGCGACTGAATGTGAAGACCAGGCACGGGGAGCAGCTCCTCCTCCTCCCCCTCCTCCTCCTCCTCCTCCTCCTCCTCCTCCTCCTGCTCCTCGTCTTCCTCCTCCTCCTCCTCCTCCTCCTCCTCCTCCTCCCCCTCCTCCGTAGCCATTTTGGCACAAGATTTTGGTGTCTGCGTTGACACAAAGGGATACCGCTAGTCCGCGGCAGTCTTCGGCTTTCTGTGAGCTCCTGTGGGAGCACCCCTTTTATGAGCTCCTGCTGGAGCGGATGGTTCAGTATGGCAGAGGCTTCTCAGTGTGTGCCCCGTGCGGGAACTGGCATTGGCACTGGAGGCTCAAGAAGCAGAAGGGGGTGTGCGAGGTTTAAGACACTCTCCAACCTGGCTGGGTCTCGTCGGCGCAGGGTACCTGGTGGGCGCCATGGAGTTCAGGCAACGCTGGGCAGGGTTGGAATGCCCGCTCAGCGTCCCCGTCCCCACCCGCCCCCCCCCCCCCCCCCCCCCCCTCCCCCCCCCCCTCCCCCCCCCCCCCCCCCTCCCCCACCCGCCCCCCCCCCCCCCCCCCCCCCCCCACCCCCCCCCTCCCGTCCCCGAATGGCAACCTCGGCGCCCTCATCCAGCAGGCGATCGCGGGCGCGGGCCTGGACAGCGACCCCGGTGCTGCTCGGCTTGCGAAGGAGTTCGCCAGCCTGGCCGAGTCCAAGAAGGCTGCGTGCGCCCCCGCGCCGAAGCCCATGCACGCGCTGCTCAAGGAGGCTACTACGGCTTGCTCCCGCAAGCAGGAGGCGCTGGAGAGGGCGGCCAGCCATCTCGAGGCTGCCAGGCTGCGCTTTGAGAAGACGCAGGCCGACTTCGACACTGCCGCCAAGGAGGTCATGGATGCGGAGCTACATCGCCTTGAAGTGCAAGAGGCTGCTGCTCCTGTCGAGGCCAAACCGAAGGTTCACTTCCAGCTCGACCCCGAGCTGTTCGAGTGCCTCGACGAACTGGAGGAGTCGGTTCGGGCTGCCCTGGAGAATTTCCAGAATCAGCTCGCGGACGTCACCGCGCAGGCTGATGCGAATCAGAAGGAGTTCCAGAGCTTGCTGGACCAGGCTCGCAATGCGCACCAGGAGGCTGCTGCGAAGCGCCGCAAACGCGACGCTTCAGGCGCTGCCGTGCCTGGCGGCGAGGAGTCCGCGGAGCAGGCGCCCGCCAGCGGCGACGCCGCGAGCAGCGCTGGGTGCGCATCGGGCCCGAACAAGGCCAAGGTCGTGCTCCCGCCTGAGCAGCGGGCCGCCTTCCTCGAGCGCATCAAGGGTGACGCCAGCAAGCGCGCCAAGGACAAGGCCGCGGCCGCTGTCAAGGGCGCTGCTGCAGGCAAGGGCAAGGCTGCGGCGGGCGAGGGCGCTGCTCCCGCTTCTGCTCCTGGGCAGCCTGTTTAGCCTGGTCGCCGACGCCCGCCGTTGCAAGGGCGAAGTTGCAACACCTCATGTACCTGTGCCAGATCGGTCCGAGGCCTCAACCTTGGACATCTTTTTCGGCAGCGTCACGGAGTGGGGCCCGCAGGCGGCTCGTTTCCTTGCCCAAGGGCAGGAGCGTGCGATAGTCGCCTTTGTGGAGACCCACAAGAGCGAGAAGGACATGGAGGACATTTGGCAGGCCGTCGACAAGGATGGCTGGAGGTTGTCGTCTACTGCTGCTCGAGCTTCGGGCAGGTCTGAGTTGGGATTGTCAGGCGGGGAATAGATACTCGCCAAGAAGCATATGGCTACTACGAGCTTTGGCACGACTCGTCGTGCTGCTCGTGATGCTGGCCGCCAAGACCCGTGCAGAGGGTTCGTGCCCACGGTGATTCACACGCGGAGTGGCAAGCTGGTTTTGATCTCTGCTTACTTGCAGCCAGGGCTCGGCGTGAAGGGCTGGAACAATGAAGTGATGGTGGCTGTGGGTGCTTTCGCGCGTGCCTTGGCGGACCCCTGGCTGGTGATGGCAGATTGGAACATTGAGCCCACCGAGCTGTGTGCGACGGGCTGGCCCGAGAAGCTCGGTGCAGCCGTGGTCGCGCCTTCCTGCCGCGCTGCATGTGACAAAGGGCAAGGCAGGATGTACGACTAAGGTTTGGCCAGTATCGGTTGCCCGTCACTCTCGTTGAGGCCAGAGATCCGAGTACCTTGGGAGACGCACTGTGGTGTTGTGGTTACTGTCGAGGCAGCTCGTACGCAACGGTGGTATAGGCATCTGGCTGTTCCCCGAGCGCTCCCTCTGAGAGAGCGCCCTTGTGTTCGGGCCGACCCGAACAGCAAGCGCTCTCGGAAGCGCGAGCAGCAGGGGCAGCGTCGTTTGGAAGCCTTGCCAGCTGAGCTACATGAAGCCTTTGGTGAACTCGTTCCGGCTGAAGAGTCGCCGCAGCCAGCGGTGCCTTTTGCTATTCCTGCGGAGACCTGGCGGGGGGCTCAGTTGCAGATGTTCTGGGAAGGCGCTCCTCGACTTTTTGACTCCACGCCTGAAGGTGAGCGGGGTAAGTTGGCGGCGTGTGATCGACGCCGACACTTTGTTATCGAGTGGCAGAACGAATGCAGGCAACACTTGGATGGGCTGTATGGCACTTGGATCTCGGCCCTGGAGAGGGCCACGTTGTTGCATGAAGAGATCGATCCTGTTTCGTGGAACCAATACTCAGGTCGTGCACGTGGCCCTGGCGTGTATTGGCCCAAGATGTCTTCCTCCCCAGGTCGAGCTCACATGGAAAATGTGCAGGCTGAGTGGTGGGGAGTTGTCGGCGCCTTGATCGTTCGTCACTCTGCGCTACGAGTGAATGGATCCGATGTTAAACAGGCCGAGGATTGTGCCTCAGGGGTTCGCGCTAGGGTGCTGGCCTTGGAAGTTCAGCAGCATGCCGAGTTCTTTGGGCGCAAAGCGGTGCCTGAGGTTGTTGAGCAGTGGAAGAATATGACAATCGACATGCACAACGTCTCGGAGCAGCTGCTGTCCTCTTTCCTCGAGAAGACCAGGCACTGGGCTGATTTGTCAACCTCCAGGGCAATGCTGGCTTCGAGGTCATCGTTCATGAAGTGGGTGCAGGAGATGTGGAGCACCGGGCCTGGTGCAGTTCACCGCCATGTCAAGCAACCGCAGGCACTGGAGTGGGAAGCTATGGATTCTGCGGGCAATATGACTATTGACAAACATACGTTGCTGTCGGCGGAATCCTGTCGACAGTCCTGTTGATATCAAGTATATGATGGGTAGGTACTTGCAAGTGACCAAGGACGACCCCTTGCCCCCGATTTCGCTGCAGGGTGTCGATGCTGTCTTGCCTGTGCTCCCTGCTAAGGAAGCGAGGGGTGTCGACGTGCCCAGTCCGATTGATGTGCAACGGCAGCCAGTTGAGGCCAGACAGCATGTCGCTGATATCTTGAACGCGATCGAGTGTTGCGGCGCATGGCCGAGTTCCGTGTCCACTGTGCTGGGCGCAGCGATTCCCAAGGAGGCGGGTGGCAACCGTGTGCTTGGTCTGACTCCTACCACTCACAAGATTTGGCCTAAGATCTGCACCAGAGCTTGGGGTAAGTGGGCTGCCGAACAGTATGCCTTCTGGGATACGGCTATCGCGGGATCTTCGGCTTTGAGGGCTGCGCTTAACTTATCAGGGCTGTTATGGATGAAGGCGCGCAGGTTTTGTCGTTCGAACACGCTTTCCTGTTCTTGGAGTTGATTCAGTTCTATGATTCGATTTCTTATGTGCTCTTGATGCAGGCTGGGCTGAGGATGGGTTTTCCTGCTATTATATTGCTGCTGGAAGTGGACATGTACGCTTCCCTACGTTTGTTGAAGAAGGGCCAGATGATTTCTGAGGAGCTATGCATCACTCGTTCCATTGTTGCTGGGCCGGGGCATGGCGTTCCTGTTGCCGGCGTTATGCTGCGCCAGCTGCTGGACGAGGCACGCCGAGCTTGTCCTCCTGTCGGCCTCTGGTCTTACATCGATGACCTGGTGGGCAGGGGCGAAGGCTCCAGGCGCAGTGCTATTGAGCACATGGATGACTTTGCAGGAGTTATGGCGGGCGGGTTGAAGGCGCTGAGGCTGAAGATTTCCGACAAGACTAAGCCGTTTGCCAGTTTGGATGAGATTGGCTATGAACTTCAGCGGCGCCTCCGCTCGAAAGGTATTCCTGTGCAGTATGTTCGTGCCGCAGATGTTGATTTGGGCTCTGACGCAGCCGCGGCTAGGAAACGGGCCTCCTCCAGGATGCAGAAGCGACTTGCTCGAGCTCGCAGGAGGCAGCGCAAGGTTTTGCGCCTGCGGCGGCTGCCGAAGAGCAAGCCCATCGACAAGAAGTTGTTCAGCGTGGGTGTCCTACCTGCTTCCGTTTTTGGTCGCCAGATCATTGGGGCGCCTCCTTCCTCGGTCCTGGCACTTCGGCGTGACGCAGCTGCTGGTGTCGCAGGTGTGAAGAGGGGCAGGTGTTAAACTACGGTGCTGCAGGTTTGTTTTGGCAATGCTGAACCTGGCACCGAGTTGCAAAAGCAGATGCTCAAAGAGCGGGTCTCCTTGTGGTTGGCCCAACCTGGGCTGCGCCCCAGGATTCGCCACACATGGCCGAAGATACGGGATAAGCTTCGACGAGGTGCAGTTGGGCGTGAAACCATTGTGAGGTGGACTGGTGTACGCGGACCGATCGCAGCGCTGCAAGCCGCCTTCCTTCAAGCTGGGTGGGGTCCTAAGTGTGCTGACGTCTGGTCGAGGCCGCTATCGGACGGTACCATCGACGACGGGATCTTTCCTACTCCTGGTGACGATATGTTTGCTACTGCTGTGCCTGCCCGCTTTGGTGAGGTGTTTGGAGCTTTTTTGGACGATGTGGTGAGTTTGCAGTGGAAGCAGGCCTCCAAGCACGTTGCGGGCGGCGATCTGGAGCAGGGCGCGGACCTACTCGCAGCGCAGATCGAGCTGAATCGGATGGTCAAGAAGTCGATGTACGTTGAGTGGGCCTCCAACCTGGTCGTCGTTGCGGGGGGCCAGTGGACTCGGGATAGGCAGATCGCCGCTGGTTATGCCTGCCCGCCGCTGTGCCCCGCTGCAAGGCCTCGCCGGAGACTTTAGTGCATGGAATCTGGTTGTGCCCAGCTAGCTGCGGGCGCGATGATTTTGAGAAGACCAATAATCTTGTTCCCCAAGCTTTCGCCCCTTGGGAAGCCCAGCCAGCCTTGTAGCTCAGAGGAGTCCCCTCGAAGGGCCTCACGGTGCCTAGGTTTGTTGAGTCTGAGGAGAGCGCCCAAGTGGTCCTTCTTGGGGATGGTAGGATTTGGGATTTCTGCTCCACCGACCCCCCGGCCCCTCTGGTTATCTTCGGAGATGGGTCTGGAGGAGAATTCAGTGCGGACCCACGTAGGAGAAGGTGCGGTTCGGCGGTGGCTGTGGTGTGCCAGGATCCTTCGCCGCCATATCTTTGGGTCCCACAGTGTGGTGTAGGGCAGATTTTGGTAGGTAGGAAGCAGACTGTCCCTCGAACGGAGCTGCAGGCTTTCTGCCTCGCCTTGGAACATTCGTTCGGCTGTATATGTTATGTCACGGACTGCAAGAGTTTGTTTTCGAATTGCCATGCTGGCCGTGCTGCCAGGCCTCGGGGCCAAAACGGTGACCTGTGGGCCCGCATCGCGCTCGCCTTGGGTTCCCGAGGCCCTGGGGGTGTTTCTGTGCTCTGGACGCCCTCCCACTCGGAGGAGAATCTGCAGTCTGTGACTTCTCTGTATGAATTAATTGTTTTTTGAGTCAGGACAATGCCTTTGCCGACGTGCATGCGGAGGTCGCGGCCCAGTGGGCTTTTGAGTGGTGTGTCGTTCCCCCCCCCCTCGTACTGACTTGTGGGATGCGACGGCGGCGCTGGTTAGACGGCGGGCTCGGCGGGGACTTCTGAGCCTTGGGGGGGAGTTCGTCCGCCGCCCCAGCCGAGAGCCCGCGGGCTCAAGCAATTCGACCAGGTCTTTGCGGCCAGCGCCCGCGCGTTCCGTCCTTTCGCGGGCCGCTGGCGTTGTGATCGGTGCCGTGTGATTGTCCCGAGGAGCCAAGTTCCCGCTGTCGCCTCGACCCAGTGCCGTTTCCCTCCTCCGTCGCAGCCTCTGGATTCGGTCCTCGACGCTGGGCTGGAGCCTGAGTATGGGGACGGTTTCGAGGCGATCTCGGGAGATTTTTCGGTTGGCTCGGTGCGCTTGCATCGCAGCCACCCCCCGGCCAGAATGAAAAGCTTCGGGCTGATTTTCTGCCAGCGCTGTGGGTTCACAGCGACCACCGACGGCAGGTGGCTCAGAGAGGAGTGTGCCCCCCCCCACTCGGAAAGGGGAGGAGAATCTGCGACGAATTAGACGTGGTGTTTTCCCCTCGTACCGCGGCCCGCCAGTGGCCATGCGTGAGGCGGCGGCCCTGGCCGCTGCGGGGCGTGCCCTTTCGCCCTCGCCGCAGGAAGGAACTGTGGGTCAGGTGGGCGCATGTGTTGAGGGCCGCCCCCTCGAATTTGACGAGTACGAGCTGCGCTCGTCGTCTCGGCCCGCCAACGTCGTGGCGTCGGAAATCGCGATTGCTGAGGACCACCGCGAAGCGGCTGCCGCCTTCGCCGCCGCTGCCGTCCGATCGAGAGGTCGTCGTGGCAGCGAGGCGGTGGCGGGCACGTGTGTGTCTGGAGAAGGCTGGTCGGGGGCGAAAGTGGTATGATGCGCCACCCGACCCAGCCAGAGATCTGGACGCGCGTCCTCCCGCATAGACTCCATAGACTCCTCCTCCCCCTCCTCCTCTTCCTCCTCCTCCTCCTCCTCCTCCTCCTCCTCCTCCTCCTCCTCCTCCTCCTCCTCCTCCTCCCCCTGCCTCTGCCCACCCGCATCTGTCTCCGCTGCGGCGCGCGAGAGTCTACCCGCCGTGCGCGCAACAGCCGGGCAGCCGTTAGTGGCTCTCGAGAGTGCCCCCGCCGCGGCCGCCTGCCCCGCCCAGTTGCCGCGCCACCGCGAGGCCTGTGCCAGAGGGCGGGGGGGGGGACGGAACGGCGGTGGCGACAATGGTGGTGCTGGTGGTGATCGTGACGTTGATAGTGGTGGTGGTGGTGATGATGATGGTGATGGTGATGATGCTGCTGCTGATGATGATGATGATACTGACGATGGTGATGATGATGCTGATGCTGATGATGGCGATGGTAACGGTGGTGATGATACTGCTGCTGTTGACAATGCTGGTGGTGGTGATGATGCTGCTGCTTTTTATGATGATGGCGATGATGCGGATGATATTGATGATGATGCTGCGGATGATGATGCTGATGCTGATGCTGATGATGATGATGATGCTGATGCTGATGATGATGATGCTGATCATGATGATGATGCTGAAGACCATGTGGTTGACGACGATGACGATGTTGTTGATGACGATGGTGATGATGGTGGTGGTGGTGTTTGTGATGGTTATGAGGATGATGATGGGTATAGTGATCATGGTGGTGATGCAAACTGTGATGTGAATGGTGATGATCATGATGATGTTGATGACGATGATGCTGATGATGCTGCTGCTGATTCTGATGACGATGATTCTGATGATGCTGATGCTGCTGATGATGGCGGTGGTGCTATTAATGACGATGATTACGATGCTGATTATGATGACCATGATGATGACGATACCGATAACGCTACTGCTGATAATTCTGCTGCTGCTGATGATGATGGTGGTGATGGTGATAATGATGGTGATGCTGATGCTGCTGATAATGAACATGACGATGATGGTGAGGTGCCTTGGTGGTGGTGGTGGTGACGGTGGTTCTGGTGATGATGGGTGGTGGTGGTGGTGGTGACGATAGTGTTGATGGTGGTGGTGGTTAGTGGTGGTGATGGTGGCGGTGCTGATAGTGCTGATCATGACGACAACGTCGTCGACGACGATGCTGCCGATGAGGAGGACTATGTTGATGATGGTATCAGTAATGATTAACATGTTTATTCTGATGATGCTGATAACGATTACGATGATCATGATCATGCTGGCGATGATGCTGACGATGATGATGATGATGCAGATGATGATGGTGATGCTGATACTGATGATGAAGATTGCGACGATGGCGGTTATGATGACGATTGCGACAGCGACGACGACGACGGCGACGATGATGATGCTGATGATGAGTATGATGACGATGATGATACTGCTGATGAGGATTATCATAGTTTTATTATTATGACAATAATGTTAATGCTGATGCTGCTGTTGATGATGGTGATGATGATGCTGATGATGACGATGATGATGATGATGTTGATGATGATGATGACTATGATGATGATGATGATGATGATGATGATGACGACGACGACGACGATGATGATGATGATGATGATGATGATGATGATGATGATGATGATGATGATGCAGATGCTGATGCTGATGCTGATGCTGCTGCTGCTGATGATGAGGAAGTGGAGGATGAGGTGACGGAAGAGGAGGAGGAAGCGGCAGAGAAGGAGGAGGAGGAGGAGGAGGAGGAGGAGGAGGAGGAGGAGGATGGGGCCTGTCTAGCTGCTCGCAAGGAGCCGACTCGCCTCTCTGGACGCGGCAGAGAGCGAGCTCCGGGCTAGGAGTGGGTTGGTGGCTGGTTGGCGCCGGGCGGAACTTCTGGCCAGACTTGAGCTGACCCGAGAGACGCTGGAAGCTTGGGCGTTCCGAGCAGATTGCCTCGCGGCGTTGCGTCGCCAGGAGAGCGAAGCGGCAGAAGGCTCGGATCTGGACTTTCCGGAGAAATTGTAAGGCTCTTTGGTTCAGTCGACTGTGCAAGTTTGGGCTCGTGCGGCAGCGACAAGGGTCCGCTCCAGCGGAGCGAAGAGGAGTATCATGGGGGAAGGCGGGGACCAGGTAGATTTAAGTCGGGAAAATAGTTTTGGGTTTTTTTTTATTATATATACAACTTTTGGACTATTTCTAATCTTTCGCCACAAATACCTCTGTAGGGGGACATGCCCGACCTAAGGTTTGGGGTGGGGTTCTATTTGGGGGGGTGGGATGTGGTGGTCTGATGGCGATGGGGACGGTGGTGATGGCGATGTAGGGCAGGGTCCATTTCGATCCGATGGATCCGTTTCGATGTCGATTCTGGCCTGCCCGATCCGATTCGGTTCCGGCAATCCGACGATCCGATGCGGCCGGATGCTTGCATGGGGACTTCGATTCCGTGTCGAAGCAGCCTGATTCGACGTGCATGTCGATTCGATCCGATTTCCCGATTCGATGTCGACTGATCCTGCAGGGTGATGATGTGTGATTGGTGTTTGATGGTGTTGGTGATGGGTTTGACGATGATGCTGACGACGATGGTGATGGTGGTGCTGATGACGGCGGTGACACAGACTATGAAACCGATGGTGGTGGTAAAGATGATGATGCTGATGATGATGCTGATGATGGTAATGATGATGATGACGATGTTGATGCTGATGCTGATGCTGCTGATGATGATGCTGATACTGATGATGACGACGATGACGATGATGGCGGTTGCGGTGACGACGACGATGAGGATGATGCTGATGATGGTGGTGGTGATGGTGATGACGACGATGATTGTGAGGATGATGAGGATAATGCTGATGATGATGATGATGCTGATGGTATTGATGATGATGTTAATGGTGCTGATGATGACTATGCTGCTGATGCTGCTGCTGCTGGTGCTGATGCTGATGCTGCTGCTGATGATGATGATGATGATGATAATGATGATTTGGATCAAGGTATCTACGATACAGACGAACATGAGGAATGGGATGGTGGTTGTAATGATACTGTGATGTGAGCTGATGGTTGGGAGGTTTGCCTGGGAGGGGACTGGCGGGTCTGATGGTGATGGTTATTCTGACGATGATGTTGGAGATTGTGACGATGATGATTTATTGATGATGCTAATGATGGTAATGATGACGACGGCGACGACCGCGACGATGATTGCGGTGATCATGCTGATTGTGGCGGCAACGGCGCCGATCATGATGACGATGACGATGGTGACAACGACGACGATACTGCTGGTGATGATGACTGTTGT